CGTTTTGATCAGATCAATAGTTTTCAAGTTATGATTTTTTGGAAAAAAAATAATCCATTTTGTTATACGCCCTTTTCAAAAGTTACTCTGGAGGAAAAAATCATATTTAAATGAAAAATGCAACCATTAGTAGCAGCGAACACGTGAGCAATGTTTCATTCAAATCAGAAGGGGTCGAGACAAAATTGACATTTTTTTTTACGATTTGAGCTAGAAATGCTCTTTGATTAAGGGGGTATTCCCAATCTTTTGCCTTTTTTCGGCCTGTTTTTCAATTAATTTTTTTTCAAGGAAAATGAATAGTAATGCGCCTAACTCTTTGGGATTCGTGTTTATTGAACATTAAAGTTTACAAATAATTTTTTTTCGACATAAAAAAAGACATTATTGACGTCACAAAATGGCGACAAACAGACCCCTGTTCGCCGCAAACGCCTGGACGGGCGAAGACTTTTCTCTGGAACGGCTTCATCTGAAACAGATTTCGTGATGAAATAATAATCTGCATAAGATTCTCTGGAGCTTCTCCCGTTGGCAGCAAAAAATCTTGCAAATTAACAAAATGGCGGCCATATGAAAAAACAGGCGATTTTTAGCCCGCTTTTTTGCAACTTTAAGGTGCTTCAAACAATGTTAAATGTTAATATTTTTGGCTGAAAGTGGGAGAAGCTCCAAAGAATTTAATAAGGAACAAAATGCGCAAAGATTCAAGTCAATATCTCTTATAGTTTCTGAGAAAAATCTTCGCCCGATAAAAAAATGTGGTTTCGAGAAAAACGCGTTTAAAGTTTTGACTTTAGTTTAAACCATTTGGGGGTTCTTACCATTAGTCAGCTATGCCTGGACACCGAATTCGCTGATCGGAAAACGGCTTGGGGGGATGAAAATATAAAGTCTAAAGTACAAAAAAACGTGAAAAAAAAAAATTTGATTTTTTGAAAAAAAAGATCGGGAATACCCCCTTAATTGTTTCAGCTTTGTCTCAAGCTTTGAATACTCCTCGAAGTATGTGGAGGTTTTGTGTCTACGAAAAGCTTTGAAAGCATCAGATTTTTCTACATACAATTTTGTGCATTCTTCGTCCCAACCAGGTGTGGCTGGTCTCCTTTTAAAGTGTGCACTTGGAACTTTTCTTTTTTGTGCTTCCAGTGAGCTTTTGTAAATCAAATCGGCTAGGAATCGATATTCTTCCAATGGTGGAAGCGCATCTATTGATTCGACACCGATTGTCACCGCCGTTGCATATTTCTGCCAGTCGATGTTCCTTGTAAGATCAAATGGAACCCGAGATGGTTTTGCAGAGTGAGGGCCACACTTTATTGAAATGATGATTGGCAAATGATCGCTACCATGGGGATCATTGATAACCTTCCACTGACAATCCAATGATAGCGATCTTGAACACAAAGATAGGTCGAGTCGGCTTTCTCGAGCCGGAGGTTTTGCTATACATGTCGCTTCACCAGTGTTCAAAATAGTCAAATTGAAATCGTCACATAAATCGTAAAAAATAGCCGCTCTATTGTCATCATATAGATCGCCCCACCCAGTACCATGGGAGTTCATATCACCCAGAATTAATACTGGGGATGGAAGAATCGAAACTAGATTCCAGAGTTGACTACGGCTAATGGAGGTTCTTGGTGGAACGTATACTGAAGCTATGCAAAGATCTTTGTTCTTCACTTTTTTTTGGCAAGCAACGATTTCGACGCCGGATAGAGCAGGAAGGGAAATTTTGTAGAAAGGTTAGCACTTTTTGATCCCTAAAAGTACTCCTCCATAAGAATCGTCTCTATCCAGGCGTATAATGTTAAAATCGTGGAAGTTGAGTTCTTTATCGGAAGAAAGCCATGTTTCACAGAGAGCAAATATATCACAATCAGAATTGTGAAGTAAAAATTTGAACGAGTCTAGTTTAGGCACTAGACAACGGCAGTTCCACTGTAGCACCGTGATCATATCTTCAACCTCGTTCGACGAATTATCCATCGAAAGATATGATTGATGCAAGGAGGGGCCATGAAACAGTCAATTGCTTAAGATATGATTCTAACGTTGGAAGCAAGGCAGAAACTAAGCTTCTTAGAGGGTCTTGTATGTTGAACATGTTTAATATGAATTCCACTATGTCCGAAAAAGCTAGCAAACCTCGTTCGGACTTGGATTTCTGTTGAGAAGTTTGAGGAGCAGCTTTTTTATTTTTTTTTTTATCTTTGTTGGGCAATGGCGGAAAATTCTTGCTGCATCCAGGGATTGGATCAACAGGAGCCTTCGGTTTTGTTTTTTCATCCCCATTACCCTGGGAATTTGGCAATCGTCTGGAGGTGACTTTAGTTTTCTTACGGCGCACTTTCGGGGAGGGGCATTTTCTTTTTGAGGAACCGTCCATTTTTGAAGGTGCGTGTACCACCGTAGAATCACCTTCAACGGATGAGTCAGAGTCCGATTCTTCAACTGACAAAACCGAAAATTGGTTTGCATCTTGGACGGCTGATGCAGCCTTCAACATTTGAGCATATGTCTGCTTGGAGCGTCCAGAGATTGAACGCTGCACTTTATCGGAGAGCTGTTTGTACATCGGGCACTCCTGCAAGGGGTGAGGATTCTCGCCACAGTAAGCGCATTTTACTGATTCTTTGTGGCAAGAATCCTCTTTGTGGTTTTCACCACATTTGCCACAACGAGTTTTGTTGCCGCAATGGCTGGCGGAGTGTCCCAGCCTTTTGCAGTTGGTACAATTATATACCCTCTGTACAAACAGTCACACCGGAAAAAAGCACCATCAATTTTAACAAAGTTTGGGAGAACTGAACCTGCGAAAGTCACCCGGAACGAGTCTGAATGTTTATAAACTTTTTTACCGTCTAGCAAAGATGCTGAATGCAGTTGCCTTACATCCAGTATCTTCACTAGCGTGGTAGCGAATGTCGAGTTTTTAAAAGTTCCCGAGGCATGTTTCAAGTCCTCGACAGTCAGACTCGCGTCGGAGACCACGCCTTCTATCTCCACATCTCGAGAAGGGATGTAGATGTTATACTCAACACTAAAAAGCTCGTGTTCAGCAATTTTATTTGTCACATCATAAGTCGGTGCTTCTACACGCAGTTTGTTGAATCTTTCTTTGTGTACCAAGATTCCCGGATACTTACGCAGCAAATCTCTCGTTATGTCGAGAGTTTTCAAAGGTTTATTTTTGGGCCGAAAAAAGACAACCCATGGTCCTTTCGAACACGGTTCATAGTATCTGGTTCGCGTAACGTAGGCATCGGAAGATGCCATAAGTGTTGCGCAAAAGCGGTGCGCAACCACTTAAGAAGGAAAAAAATTAAAACCTTCACTAATTAATTAATTTTAATTACTAGTAATTAAATTTTTTGCCCGACGTACAAACAAATCAAAAAGAAAAAAAAACTTATATCTACTTGCAAAAAGTTGTCTCACTATGACCCATACTCCCCTACCAGGGGTGAGAGACAGAGTCACGCGCCACGAGGCAAAATTAAACTACAATAGGGAGGCAATGGACTTGCAAAATGTATTGTCTAATACTTATGCCGGTTGTAAACAACCTATCAGCCGTTGCAGCTAGATGGTCCGTTTGCTGCTGCTGGTGGTGATGGTTGGTGTTGGTGGGTCAGCACGATGATGATACGATGATGAAAAAATGGCTTGACGACCGGATGGATTACCGGGGTGAATTAAAGCTGGATGGCAACTCCAAGGGGCTCGGCCCATGGAATTCCACTTCCTCTGTTGCACACTGGTCACTTGGGGCACCCAATGGGGGGGGGGTGAAAAAGCCGCTCGGACGGAAAAAAACACCGAAAAAAAACTAGATGCCGCGCGACTGAGACCGGGACGTTGTTAACCGACTGAGTGTTCAACTAGGAATGACGTCGCTTTTCTTGATACCAAATGTTTATTGTTGTTCCTAATTTATAGAAATAATTTAAAATGAAATCTCAATAAATGGTTAGCATTTGTATCGTTTTTTGGGTATCTCAATATCGTATTCCGTAGTTATATCAATAACAGGCTGGAAGTGCTAGTTGGGTGAGGTTATGTTTGATATAGCTACTGCAGCGGTCATATCAACTAATTTCTATTAAAATGCGTAAAATTTACCCTGTTATCAAATGTCAACATCTGGGTAACCGTTACCCAGTTTCTGTCGCAGGTACGTTTACCCAGATATGGGTAAATGAATGTTTACCCATTTTTGGGTTGGTTCAGTTTTGAACGATCTGAGTTGATTATACCCAAATTTGGGGAGTTTTGAAATAGCGTGTATGGAATTCTTAAATTAGGTTCTGCAGCGTGACGTCACGAATGAACTCAGTGTTAATCGGCTGAACCTTTTTGACAGTTCAGTGGTACTGTTTACAAGCACTTAGTCGTTTTTTCGAAAAAACAAATTCTAAAATTTCCGAATTTTAACTTGAAAATTGTCGATGAACAGCGCGGTGAAAGGATGTTGCTCGTGGACAATGCAGAAGTGTGGTTTACATCTCACTGCAGTCTGAAAAATTATCGAGAAAATCTACCCAAGAAAAAAACGACTAAGTCCACGTAAACAGTACCACTGAACTGTCATCAGATTGAGGTTAACCCCGACGGTGCAAAACCTAATTTATTTGCGCTTCAGTTTGGTAACCGAGTTCATTTCTGATGAACACATCATTCATCCAGTGTTGCTAAACATGACCAAGAAAGTGGATATTCGGCAGACATTACTTAATTTAATCTTGAATTGAATAGTACTATTACGGAATGCCAGCGCATAGAGTCTCAAACTTAAGTAAGAGAAATTTTAATTATTTAAATACTGCACTACTTGACTCAACCTTGCTCTTATTATTTAACTATTGATGTACCGCGGTAAATATAATTGCATGTAATAATCATAATATAGGGTAATACTATTTTCCTACTCGGCAGCACTGCCACTTACCTGATGTTGGCTTGCCATGCGCTTCATCCAAAAAGCTCACTGTCTTCATTTTTCCTCGGCTGTCATACCATGGTAGTATAATGGCATTCGTTCGTTCTTATCTGCTGGTTAGATACAATAATTCCGTGCTATCGCAAAGGTTCTTCTCTTCAATGTCCGACAAAGTACGTGCGCAAGTGTTGCCCATTAGGAAATAACTGAAAACTGATTGAACTTTGCTGAAAACGGTAAATAATCGCGATTAATATTTTCTCTTTCCCGACACCATCATTTTTGGCTTGTGCAACATTTCGTGGCTTGCCGCCGTCATCGCCTTTTGGTTGTGGTTTTCTTACTGTTATTATTCCTCGATCCTCGCCTGCCTGATTGACCTGCAACACCAACCAATCATCGTTTAATCAATCTTCGCCGACGACGACTTTCCGAAATCCGCAGCGAGGTCTTGTGCTTGGCGTTTACTGCACCGACGGTCAGGACAATGTAAAATTCACCAAATTTGCCCAAAAGTACAACGAATCAACAGCTGGTAAACTTCTGGAGCAGATCAAAATGTGAGTACCTAAATTTGATAACAATGCGTAGATGTTGCATTTCTTTTTTGTGTCGCGTTGCTTCGGTATTGATTTAACCTTTATCCATGACATTTTAGTCCAATCAATGATTCGTCCCGAATAAGAAATACGAGTCTTATTAATCTTGTTAATAGAAATGGTATAATCGTTCTCATAAATATTATGATTGCATTGACATGTTTATATTACGTAATTTAGTGCCGGAACGAGTCAGAAGCATCGATGGCTTTTGAGTCTATAGGCGCCTTTTTCTCGCTGGTGGGTGGCAATTTATCACCTCTTATCGTCTGCCATCGACAAGAAGACGTAGTGTCAAGATACCGGCCACAGTGGGTCAACTATAGAATTATTTATATGGGACACTGTTAACTATCTTTCTTAATATCAGTATAAAGATTTTTAATATGGAAAAATATATAATGGTTGATAATCTTCTTTACATTCAAAACAGGGATTTTCTTAATTTTTGTTCGTGAGACATTTTAGTGATTATACCTAACGCAAGTCATTCTAATTCCAAGCTTTCACAATGTAGGTCCATTCCTGAGCAGATTCTTCTTCCTTGACCTTACACCTTACAAACACGTATATGAACTACAGGTTAACGCTAAATAAATTTCAATACAGATTCTGTAACTCCAAATTTTCTGCAAAAATAGACGGTTCGGGGAACAATTTCTGTACACAGTAACTGTAAATTACGACAAGGGAATTTGGAGTTGGGGTGCACAGTGCCGTTTTTGACAACACGTGATTTTTGTCTTCTATACCTTCTAGAACATCCATCTAAGGCTTTATTCAATTTGTGATTTCACTAGACCATTCTTTGTAGATCCTCAATACTTGGTATATCATGGAAAATTGTCCAAAAAGCACTAGTACAAATATGAGGAAAAAACTAGCTGATGAGGCCATGTTGCCAACAACGGGAAAGCACTATATTCGCGTTTTGGTCGAATACGGTGTGACTCACCATCATTATTCGACCATGTATTCTATGAAATGTCGTGTAACATTAGGAAAGGGTCTACCAACTTTTGTTAACAAAACTAGTTGGGCCCTTTCCGTGCCAAACCGAGCACATATTTACATCATGAATACAATATGACCCGATTTCAGCCCCCTTTTTAAAAATCTAATATTCTACGAAGCCCTTGCGTATTTCCACACTAAGAAAAATTTAAATATTGTTTTTATGCGTCCCACACATGCATTTTTGCAATGTGACCAAAAAATGATATTTATGTGCCGGACACATACTTAATATGTGTACGCATAACAGACATGTGTGACCACATATGCTATTCATTTTAAGCATAAATTTCATGTGTACTTCTGTGTAGTCACATAAAAACCATAAGGAATGTCACATGGAAATTCGTCAACAAAAATGTGTGGTCTTATTGTACCAAAGTTTACCTTAATCATCCATCTTGAATATGAATCAGAAATGTTCGGAATTACGGTTATCTGAAAATTATTGATGCGCTGACAAATCGGGTCATTACTGTATAATATGAAATGTATATTATTGACTTCTACGAAAAAATATTAAAAATGTTCTTTTTTTGTTACCGTAATACAACCGCTGGGGTAAAATGAACACCCCCGGTAAACATATGCTTTTCTCAAGAATATTTATGAAGGGCCTTAAGTAATAAAGAATGAAGTTTTAGAATGAAAAGATCAATAAGAAATAATAATTTTCTGTAGAATAAGATGAAATATAAATTTTACTGCCTTTCTAAGGTCAATTTCGTTCCAGTCGTATGAAACATTTTTTTTTATCAAAGCAGTTGCTATTTTATTAGATAAATTCATATTTTCAAAAGGAACAATGAATGGAAAAATTATGTTTTTTTTTAAGTAAGAGCTGCTCATACTACCCCAATTCGACAAAGTAATATTTTTTGAAGAAAAACCACCAGTTATGTAGCTGTTTAAGGAATATTTCTGATTAGTTATTCGAAACTATTGGTAAACCTTATTTTCTGATGCAGAAATCTTAGCTCATTATCAGCTAGACTAACACTTAGCGTTAGAAAAAAAAATAATGTTTTAGACCACAATGAAAAAAAAAAAAAATAATGTCAGCAAGTATTACGTACGTAACGCTGTAAGAGATTATTGTGAACTATATGCAATTAGTTGAGTTTTAGTGGGGTTTTGTTATATTTCTCCTATGGCAAAACTACCACATTTTCCCCTGAGCAGTTTTGATCTGTATAAGTTCCTTTCAAATAGGCGAAAAGAACATGATTGTAATAAAAACCTTAAATTTTCAAGAAAAGCTAATTCTTATATTGGACGTATACTGCCTATAATCCCATATCTGTTCCATATGGAAGAAATAGGCAATAAAATAGTGCAATTTCCATGTAAATGTTTGAAAAATCATTTGATATTTTATCAAGTTGAAATCAGTTAGAATAAAGTGAAATAAACAAATAAATAAATTGACAAATATTTGGTGAAGTAAAATTAATTGTCTTTGAAATTTGATAGATTCCGTATCCATTGGTAATTGAATTCCGCTTCACCAAAAATGATGTTGGCTTCATTTGTATGTTGAAAATCTCGCTGTAGTAAGAAGTACCTCAACTGGCGAATGGCAAAAAGAACGTAGAACCAGCAGCGATCAGTCTATAAAAGTAGCAGTAACGGATTCCAGGGCTCATTCTATTGACGGAAGACAAAGCGAGCGGACTCCATTCGAGGTTAAGAGACATTACCCAACCGGACCTGACCAAGGATCATCACATGTTCGTCAGGGCACCTGGTGAACAGACCACCGGAAATCACGACATGAAGCTTGCATGTTTTGTTATATCAGCGAAAAATATGGTCTATCTAAAAAGCAGAACTAGTAGCTTGTCCTCCGGACAATCGAATTTCAGGATGGGACTGATATGCGATTACTGCTCAATGGGACAAACTGTCTTTAAGTTGTTTTCACATTTTTCATAATCAAAGTCCGTAGTTTTATTCAATTGATAGTGGATAACATTGTTATCTTAAAATTGACGAAAATCCATACGGGACTGATAAGCGACTATAGGCATCATATTCACAGACAAACAGACATAACTCTCGCAAGTTGTTCATCGCACACGTATTTAACGGTAAATTTATATGTTTTTTTTAATAGGTAGTACCGCCACATGTGGCGCGCATAGTCAATTCCCTTGCGTTTGAAGTTTACACACTACCGCCATCTATTCAGCATACTGCCCATCACAGTATAATCAACAGATGGCGGTAGTGTTCAAGGAACGATGTTTTATATTGAAAAATATTCAATGAGTTATGTCTGTTTGTCGGTGGTATATTGCTTATTCAGAAACCTTTTTTATTAGTCAATGTTCAAATCATTCATTAAACATGAAAAACAATACAGTGAAGAAAATTTTATGAAAATTAAGCATAGTTTATCCAAAAAAGCCCAATTTCTGAAAAAAAGCCTTTGCGCAAAAAAAATAGACAGAGAAAATTAAAAAAATCGCTCAGTTGAATATTATTTGTTATGTTTGCATCAACAGACTAGAAATAGTCCCAATGATGTGTTGTAAAAAAAGTACAGATTATACAGACTACATATACTACAGTTACAAACGAAAATAACAAGGAAAGCATTGTCAAGTTACTAAAAATGTATAAGTCTAAAATTTTACACTTAGCTGTTGGGCGTCAAGCGCCTTTGGTCAGCAAAAAAGGCAGAGAATCTTCGGCGAAGCATATTCCGTGTCAAGTGGAAATCGAACATCGACGCTACTCGGTTGAACACTCGCTGCAAGACGTAAATAGCGCTCCCTAAGCTTATAATTAGTTCGAAGAAGTGGAAGTTTTAGCATAAGACTGTTGCAGAATTGCTTCGCAATCGATTCTTCCTTGCAGAGTATCGGTGACGGTTAAGGCTCTGAAAACATATCTTCGGATACGTAAGGGCTTGACATTGATCAATTGGCAGCGAATCGTAGTTTGGAATACGAAGAGGCAGCTTACGGAGCGCGAATCGAAGAAAAGGTCGTTGCACAGATTCAATTTACTAGGCCCCATTATTGTAGTTCGGGCTCTAGACTGCAGAGCAGTATTCCAACGTAGATGTCTGAAGAATTTTAAGAGAGTTTTGACAAAGCAGTGCCGCCCGCAAAGTGTACCGTGATTGTGCAAAGTGCAATCGAGCTCGATAAGTACGTGTAACACAGCAAATGGGACAGTTGCCAGCAGACCATTTGAAGCCACATTTGAAGAATTAAAAACTCAACAAATGTCTACGGTCCATACAAATTAAAAAAATGTATGGACTTGTCTACTTGGGTCTAAAACTTCTAAAAATAGGTCTACGTAGTTTATGCACAGCCTCACAGCTGCTTGCATGAACTCTCGTCCGACCTCCGCGATTTCGAACGACCCCACCGGTTCACAACCGCTTACGCCAACACACGTCTTAATCGGGCGACCTCTTAAAGTTCTCCCGCAGGTTAACCATTCGGAACAACATATAGGCTCGTTGTCAAGGTTGAACTATGTGCAAGATTTTCAAGCTCGGTGGCAATCCGAATACGTGCTATCGCTCCAATGGCTAACGAAATGGATAGCATCATCCTTCTAATGTCGGAAAAGGTCATTTTGTGCTCCTCGTCGATGACAACGAAATGGAGCTCTTATCCGGGAACGATGGACTCGTCAGGATTGTCCCGGTCAAGGCAGCCAAGGGTGTTTTCCGTCGAGACGTCAGGATACTTCGACGAGTCTCAATCGACAGCGACGAACACGTTCCAGGAAGAAATGGGTAGGAAAATCCTACTCGTAATTTGGTGGGCGGACTATGTTTACGCGAGAATGATTAGCGGTACCCTTCTCGTTGCAACCGCAAGCGATTGCATTGTTTTGCCTCGCACGGACGGCGTCAACCAACTAACACATGAAAGGATATGATATAATATGGAACTTCGCTGTTCGCTGTTGCAAAGGAATCC